GGATAAAATGAATTGATTAAATTATGATTATAACGTTTTAGAGAGTTTGGAATAATTACTCAGAAGGTAACATACTAAGAAACAAACTTGATGTTAGAATTCTGAGATGGGGACAGAAAAAACCAAGCAATTAAAACTTTTTTATTGGACGAAAAACAGACAAAATCTKATTGTTGATATATAGGTACTTTATATGATATAATTTGTGAGCACARACTTACCGTGACTCATCATGACTTTCAAAAACTTGATGATGACTTTGGAACATGGCCTAATGAGGACTTGGCGTTTACCTCGCTTTTCGGCGTTGTTTATTGACTTAAGAGCGTCACTCAATACGTTCATGCGCACCATCTTGACACTTTAATTGATACACCTGAAAAATTGAAATAATAATTTCTCATTCAACAAACGATACCGGCTGACGATTATCCAGGCCCAATTCGACAGTGGTATCGTCGTCGGCAACCGTCGAAGACCAAAGGTATAAACCTWCAACTATTATTGACCGGAAACGAGCGGTCTCGAAATCCGGACATATCCGACGACGGATCGTCGGACCGCCAACAGATTATCGAAGTACACCAGTTGACGGTCAAAAGCGGTCGGTTTGCGATTTCGGAAACTCATAATTACCTGGGATTACGATGGATGAATAACGCGATCAGAGTCCACCTCAACACATTACACCGACTCCGGGCCCGAAGCAAAAAGACTGAGATCACGAACGGTTGTCAGCAGGGCGAACTGGGAGAGAGGAACTATTTGAGGTTATGTTTATATCGGTGATAATATTTCATTGCGCGACCCACAGACATATTATTGTTAAAATTAAGTTCGTTGGATTTCCATCAACAACATTTTACATTCATCACAAACATTGCTAAAATTCCCAATTTACGAATATTCTAATGTTTTAGGGATACATTTTTAATTTCAAATTGTTGTTTGAAACAAAATTATCCCGCCGTGCAGTTGGCAACACAGCGGTCGGCGCGAAATTTAAAACTCCTACACTTATACCAAACAGTATTCGCRTCGTAGTTAGTAGCTGTGGACGCTTTTTAGTGGATACGCATAAGCATCATTATGCATTTATTAAAATTGCATTATAAAAATAAATRATGTTCTCTGTGTTAGCTTTTCGCTTTCGAATATTCAATATGCAGAACATAACAAGTATTTGAATGTATTGGAATGCGTGTTCTAAATATTTTAGTTCTCACAATGAATGAAAATAATAGTATTCTTTACCCGACTAAGCCAACTGAGTACATAGTGTGTACTTCAACTCAAGTTTCAAAACCAATATTATTATATTATATGAAGTATATTGAATATTATAGTATAGAATGTTATACAATGCTATTGATGGGTACATAATATAGTAGTTTGGGTCTTCGAGAAGTGAAGATAAATTCTCATTTGGCTTCTACTTCCCAACCACAACCTATATACTTTGTATAACTTAATAGCCTTATAGGTGATAGGTCTATATTATTATGCTCCAGATGGAATCGTTGTCACGTGGTGATTATGTTGCCTATATATTGTATATTATAGGCGTTAGACGTGTACACTGTACTGAGTGTGTATGCGTATGCTGTACCTACAATACTTACTGTAAATATAGCACTATAGCAACTCGGTCAATTGATATGAATTTTAAACATGTTTGACGGCAAGACGACTACGATGTTTGATTATTATTACTTATTATATTTATCTTRAACATTATATGTATTCTAACTTCACAATATAATTATTTATTTATTTATTCTTTTGTCTACCAAGTACAACTTTAGGTACTGTGTACTAGAATAATAATATTGTACCGATACGAAATGCGTTGGCAACTGGTGCAATAATTAATAATTCACGTTTACCTGCAGAAGTGCAGCATTCACCAGACACCGTAAACTGAGGTACGAAATCAGCAAACTCATAAAATATAACACATAATGCACATTATGGTCGTTGCCATGTATTTTATTATTTTGCAGTATAGCCGGTATTGTCCTTTATTAGTACTTGTAGGCATCTTGAAGTCTTGGATTCTGCTTGGCGTTTTAGCACCACCTGAATACACCGGYATTTAGGTACCTTTTTCGGCTGACAGGCGGGTATAGGCGTCCATTTTAGCGGCATCTCTTACTCTTCATTTAAACCATGAAAAAATATAAATACCTATAGTACCTACATTTAAAT